GGGATGGCCTACCTTCACAGCACAGACATCAAAAGCCATGGTCATCTTAAGTCCAGTAACTGTGTAGTAGACAGCAGGTTTGTGGTCAAGATTACAGACTTCGGACTGCATTACTTCCGAGAGAAAGAAGAAGAACTTGAAGAGGATACCTATGCTATTGAAAGAAGTGAGGATGTATTTGCTATTGCCTAGAATTCCTTCACTGTTTTGTCTCGCTCTAATCAAGGCCTTATCCATTGTTAGAACCAGGGTCAACTGTCTGTCAGTCTTCTATAGTGACCCCTTCACTGTTTTGTCTCGCTCTAATAAAGGCCTTATCCGTTATTAGAACCGGGGTCAACTATCTGTCAGTCTTCTATAGTGACTCCTTCACTGTTTTGTCTTGCTCTAATTCTGGCCTTATCCATTGTTAGAACAGGGGTCAACTGTCTGTGAGTCTTCTATAGTGACCCCTTTTCTGTTTTGTCTCGCTCTAATCAAGGCCTTATCCGTTGTTAGAATCGGGGTCAACTGTCTCTATAGCTTTCACTGTTTTGTCTCGCTCTAATTCTGGCCTTATCCATTGTTAGAACCGGGGTCCACTGTCTGTCAGTCTGCTATAGTGACCACTTCAGTTTTGTCTCGCTCTAATCAAGACCTTATCTGTTGTTAGAACCGGGGTCCACTGTCTGTCAGTCTGCTATAGTGACCACTTCACTATTTTGTCTCGCTCTAATTCTGGCCTTATTTGTTATTAGAATCAGCGTCCACTGTCCGTCAGTCTTCTATAGTGACCCCTTAACTGTTTTGTCTGGCTCTAATTCTGGCTTTATATATTGTTAGAACTGGGGTCCACTGTCTATCAGACTGCTATAGTGACCACTTCACTGTTTTGTCTGGCTCTAATTCTGGCCTTAGTGATCTTTTCGCTGTCACCTTTAGTCGGGGGTGGGGGTGGGGGGGGGGGGGGAGAGTTACATATAGAAAACACTGTGGGCGCTAGGATACGCGTGGATGCGGGAAGAGGTGACTTAGTCCCTTACACATTTGCTAGGGGTCTCAATGGACTTTGCGTCAAGTAAAGGACCATTGTCCACTTCTAAAGGCATATTGGACCTATATTTTATGCACCAATCTGCACACGGTAGGTGACGTTGTCAGCATCACGCCGGCTGCCTTTACTTCCCAGGACTTTAACTGGTACCCATTTAAAGCTAGGTCGACCTGGGAGCCAAGGTCATTTCTGGGGGAGGGGGTGGGGGACGCCCGGCTCCATGAGGACCTGAACCAATGACCTTCCGAGAAGCGGGTAGGTGTTTAGCTGCTAGTCTTAATGGGCCTTAAAACTTGTTAAAATGCTTAATAATAATAATAATAATAATAATAATGATAATAATAATAATAATAATAATAAGCTGAATCGCTAACAAATGTACAAATATATTTTAAAAAATAATATGTAATATGTAAACAAATACTTCTAAAACAAACACTTGTAAAACAAATACTTATTAAACAAATACTTGTTAAACAAATACTCTCTATAAATGATTAGGTAATGCGACAGCCTAGCCGTGATACTATTTTCCCTGGTGAAGGTCTGAAGAGACCTAAGACGTCGGCTTTGTTTATCTCTACTACAGGTATATAAATTATATCTTGATGTACGGAAATGGATCATGGACAGTTGGTAGATTAGTGAGAAATTATTTGGAAGCTGCGGATATGTGGTTTTATAGACGAATGATGAGAATACCCTGGAGAGATAAAAGGAGTAATGAAAATGTCTTGAAAGAAACTGACTCACGAAGAGAAATTATTACCAACATCAAAAAGAGACAATCTACACTTTTTGGTCTTGCGATGAGAAAGAGAAAACTGGAGTACATCGTGATAGTAGGAAAGTTAAAGGGGAGAAGAGGCAGAGTGAGACCGAGAGAAAATACGCTGGACATTATGACATCATGGCACGCAGGATCATCTGTGTCAGAGCTGATTGAAAGTACCCGAGACAGAAGGTTGTGGCTAGACACGACTACCAACGCCACCACACGACATGGACTTTAAGAAGAACAACTGTAGTGAGACTTATGTGCATTTCAGAAACATCAAAAACATTCTGCGCTCGTTTACGTCTCTCAGCCTTATAAGTCCCGTTTTCGCCGGGACGGTATCGTCTGGCAGACCCAGACCTTCTCGTCGATACCCATTGTCAATTTGAACAATGGAAATAGTTTTTGGTTGAGTATTGGCGGGACGGCCGTAAAAATACGATACTGTCCCGACTAAATTGTCAGCCTAATACAGGACAAGTTACCTCGTGTTACGTGTTGTACCCCAATGTAACGGACTTTAGGCGGAAGAAATGGCTATCTGGTATTTTCACCTGTTGGATTTGTAGCCTTACGGTGGATCCTTTTGTCACTCGGTATCAAATTTTGAGTTTGAAATCCTGGAGGAAAAGTTTTTTAAAGCCATATGGAACCATCCAAAGTTACAAGAAGGTTGCAAAATTATGCTCAAAAAAAAAAGAAATGCGAATAAACTGGTATGACAGAATCAGTAACATAATCAAAGGGAGAGAACTAAACAAACTCTGGTAGGTTAAGGGGTCACTACACCAAAAAATTTTATTTTTTTATTTACAGACTTAGAGCAGTTATTTTATAATGGTCGTTTGTAGGGATACATGTTATTACATTTGTATACTTAAAGTGTTAAAAAAGCATAGTTGTCATGGCAATAGCCACCATCTTGTGAAAAAAACAATATGTTCTTAAATCCTAGAATTTCAAAAACAAACATAGGTATTCAATAATAGATGATGGATCTATGACCTGTTATCTTATTTAGAGGTACAGGTAGTATAGATATTATTCAGTTTCGTCCTTTTTAGGACGAAATTTTTTGTTATTTGAAGCCCCACCCTGGCTTTTGCCAGGGGCCGCAATATAGGCAGGCCATAGGTGTGGCCAAGTGTCTGAACGCGGTTTCTGGGACCTCTCCACGGCGATCCTCATCCATATGGTGGCACTTTGTGTCATCGGGTGTTTGTCGCTTGTGTGATGTCCTGGTGGGGTAGAAAGTCAGTCAGTCAGTCAGAGGTACAGGTCATTCTATACGTCCTTCTTAGGACGTAATTTTTTGTTATTTGAAGCCCCACTCTGGCTTTTGCCAGGGGCCGCAATATAGGCAGGCCATACATATGGCCGAATGTCTGAACGCGGTTTCTGGGACCTCTCCACGGCGATCCTCATCTGCATGGTGGCACTTTGTGTCATCGGGTGTTTATCGCTTGTGTGATGTCCTGGTGGGGTAGAAAGTCAGTCAGAGGTACAGGTAATTATGCAGACTATTTACGTCCTTTTAAGGACGTAATTTTTTATTATTTGAAGCCCTACTCTGGCTTTTGCCAGGGGCCGCAATATAGGCAGGCCATAAAAATGGCCAAATGTCTGAACGCGGTTTCTGGGACCTCTCCACGGTGATCCTCATCCACATGGTGGCACGTTGTGTTTATCGCTTGTGTGATGTCCTAGTGGGGTAGAAAGTCACTCACTCACTTTAGAGGTACAGGTCTTATTTATTTACTTTAAACATGTTTTTAAATGTTTTTAGTAGAATTTTAAAATGTAGGTTTATTGGAAAAGTCAAAAAAATCGAGCATCATAAGACAATAATCAAATTTTAGAAAACAAAAACTTTCTAAAATCTACTTTTAGATAGACCAGTCCCTATAATATTGTTTATGGAGTATGCATACAAAATTTCATGTTTCTACTCTTTATATTAGCTTAGATTTTAGGATTTCACAAACTCAGCAAACTGAAATATAGAGAATTCCTGAGAAATTTGACTAAAAAGCTCAACAAAATGGGAAAGAGGAAAACGCACAAAACAACAAAACGTAACGTTTCGGCTGGGCAGCCTTTTTCAAACACAAGTGAAAGACACAAACGAGGAATGGAGAGTATGTAGATCTCTAAGGGGTGACGTGAGCGCTTTAAAAAAATGTGATGCGGAAAAAATGAAATGAAATAAAATAAACGATGGCTAAAAAATATAGTCACAATACTGGGAATAAAAGAAATGCAAGTGGTAATGATACATAAATGATACTGATAAGAAATAGAATAAGGTAATAATATGAAATAAAATAAAAAAATTAACATTTAAAATGTGATAAGATTAGAACTATTTAGATGAAGGTATGTTGGATATTGATACCTCTTGGACTAAGAACGCCAAGGGCTGTGGATAAGGCGATTTTCCAAAGCGAGGCGGGTAGTATGATCGCCAGAGCAAGATTTTAATGCTGTGACAGATATGTCATCTTTACCGCTGTGGTCAGGGCTATTAAAATGAAGAGGGATTGGTTTGAGTGTCTTCTTGTCGATATCGGAGAGGTGTTCCCGGAAACGATCAGCTAGCTTCCTGCCAGTCTCTCCAATGTATGCCTTGCTGCACCGTTTGCAGATAATTGCATAAATTACGTTGCGGGATTCGCAAGTAAAAGGTTCCCTAATTTGAAAAGAACCATTAGGGAAACTGACCGAAGAAGTCTGGACAACGAAAGGACATGTCTTGCAGGTGCTACGTGAGCACTGAGTAGTCCCAAAAGGAAGTGCTGTGTGGATCGGTGGGAGTCGGCTTCGGACAAGTATGTCTTTAAGGTTGCGATCTCGTCTGTAAATTAATCTAGGTTTCTCACTAAAGATAATTTTGGTGTCCGGATCAGAGCGGAGGATGTCCAAATGACGAAAGAATACTTTGGAAGAAACCACATTGTTAGGGTGAAAAGTCAAGATCAATTTAGGTGCATCATTGGTGGAGTTACGTTTGGTAGGAAAAGCATCTCTCCTGGTGATTGCTAAAACTTTGTTTAGAGCCCCTTGTAGAATGTGTTCCGGATAGAAACGGGCACGGAAGAATTCAAGAAGTTCAACTGATTTATCAAAGAAGTCAGAATCATCAGAGCACAACCTGCGCAATCGAAGGAGCTGTGAATATGGAATAGAATTTTTACACGGTAGTGGGTGAGAAGACGTATAGAGGAGATAACTGTGAGAATCCGTGGGTTTGTAGTAGGCTGTGGTTTTCAGACACGGAAAATCGATGCTAATCGTGATGTCAAGAAAGTTAACTGAAGTGGTTGAGATCAGTGAGGTGAATTTGATAGCCGGATTGAAATTGTTGATGTAATTAATAAATTGGTCAAGCTCAACCATTGGTGTCACCGAAATGTCCATGGTTGAGCTTGACCAATTTATTAATTACATCAACAATTTCAATCCGGCTATCAAATTCACCTCACTGATCTCAACCACTTCAGTTAACTTTCTTGACATCACGATTAGCATCGATTTTCCGTGTCTGAAAACCACAGCCTACTACAAACCCACGGATTCTCACAGTTATCTCCTCTATACGTCTTCTCACCCACTACCGTGTAAAAATTCTATTCCATATTCACAGCTCCTTCGATTGCGCAGGTTGTGCTCTGATGATTCTGACTTCTTTGATAAATCAGTTGAACTTCTTGAATTCTTCCGTGCCCGTTTCTATCCGGAACACATTCTACAAGGGGCTCTAAACAAAGTTTTAGCAATCACCAGGAGAGATGCTTTTCCTACCAAACGTAACTCCACCAATGATGCACCTAAATTGATCTTGACTTTTCACCCTAACAATGTGGTTGCTTCCAAAGTATTCTTTCGTCATTTGGACATCCTCCGCTCTGATCCGGACACCAAAATTATCTTTAGTGAGAAACCTAGATTAATTTACAGACGAGATCGCAACCTTAAAGACATACTTGTCCGAAGCCGACTCCCACCGATCCACACAGCACTTCCTTTTGGGACTACTCAGTGCTCACGTAGCACCTGCAAGACATGTCCTTTCGTTGTCCAGACTTCTTCGGTCAGTTTCCCTAATGGTTCTTTTCAAATTAGGGAACCTTTTACTTGCGAATCCCGCAACGTAATTTATGCAATTATCTGCAAACGGTGCAGCAAGGCATACATTGGAGAGACTGGCAGGAAGCTAGCTGATCGTTTCCGGGAACACCTCTCCGATATCGACAAGAAGACACTCAAACCAATCCCTCTTCATTTTAATAGCCCTGACCACAGCGGTAAAGATGACATATCTGTCACAGCATTAAAATCTTGCTCTGGCGATCATACTACCCGCCTCGCTTTGGAAAATCGCCTTATCCACAGCCTTGGCGTTCTTAGTCCAAGAGGTATCAATATCCAACATACCTTCATCTAAATAGTTCTAATCTTATCACATTTTAAATGTTAATTTTTTTATTTTATTTCATATTATTACCTTATTCTATTTCTTATCAGTATCATTTATGTATCATTACCACTTGCATTTCTTTTATTCCCAGTATTGTGACTATATTTTTTAGCCATCGTTTATTTTATTTCATTTCATTTTTTCCGCATCACATTTTTTTAAAGCGCTCACGTCACCCCTTAGAGATCTACATACTCTCCATTCCTCGTTTGTGTCTTTCACTTGTGTTTGAAAAAGGCTGCCCAGCCGAAACGTTACGTTTTGTTGTTTTGTGCGTTTTCCTCTTTCCCATTTTGTTGAGCTTTTTAGTCAAATTTCTCTGGAATTCATTGTATTAGCTTGACTGCAGTCACCCCCATAGTTTAACCATTTTTGAAATATAGAGATTTGAGAAAACTGACTTTTAAACTTTTTTTTATCTTAAAAAAGTGCACGAGGTGTTGTCGTTAGTATTAACTTTTCAATGCTAAATTGTTTACAAATGACATAAATTTTGTGTGTCATCTATTCTACGAATGCCGAACTTTACAAAAATGAACACATTGAAAAAGTGATATTTTTGTCATAAATTGGGAAAAAATGGATGGATGCTAACGCCTAACATGGTTCTCTGTTTCTTCAGCATTCTGAGCTCTTGATGTTCATCGGCACAGATACCACTTATAAATGTCACTCAAAGCATGTTTATTCTCTTATTTAAATAATCGTATTCATTATATAAGTATATTCTCTTGGGAAAAAAATGTAATGCTTTTGAAAAACCTATTTTGTCGAAACGACTTCTTTAAATTGGTGGTAATTTTCACTTTTTGCTTCCTGAAAGTTGGTAATGCGTGGGACAATTTTCATTTTTAATTTGGCTCAAAGAGCACGTTCACACATTTTAGTACAAATTTCTGGTTTGCTTCTTACTCTGCATTCCCCACTAGCTGCATCTTTGATGACTCCAAAGATTTGTAATGCTGTATATAACATCAGTGAGTAGGAAACATCAAAGATTTCTGATTCCTCCTACAGGCAGGCTGTGGACAGCTCCAGAACTTCTCCGTATGAACAGCCCAGTAGCAGGTGGCACCCAGAAAGGGGATGTCTATAGTTTTGCTATTATCTGCCAGGAGATCGTCTACAGATACGGCGTCTTCTATCTGCAGAACTTAGACCTATCTCCACAAGGTAAAATAATGTAACGGGAAGTAATGTAATGTAAAGTAACGAAAACAACTAATGTTATTTGATGTAATCTAGTATGTAGGCAAGAAGGACACATTTCATGCCTTAGGCTCATCGGGCACTGACTGTTAGACAAATATTGGTATAGAACAATCAGCACTCAGTGGGTGATGTCACGCCGGCAGCCTTTACTACCCAGAACATTACCTGGTACCCATTTTATGCTAGGACACAGGTCACAATCCGTCTCGATGCCAAGGCGAACACGTGACCTGCGGATAGCACGCGAGAGTCTAGCCATTACGCCCCTGTGGTTTCAGTAATGTAATGTAATATAACGTAAAGTAAAGTAAAGTAATGCGAACGACCCATGCTGTCTGCTGTGGAAGGTTTGACATGGAACAATTATGCCATGTTTATTGTTGTGGATCCCAGCGTGGGATCTGTTGCCTCATTGTTGGGTTGAAAGAATAGACCCTCTGCCACCGAAGTTGGAATGCTTGAGAAGCGAGGAACCAACAGTCTGCACACAAATTAGCCAGATTAGTAACACAGATGCACACACAACTCAGGTTTTGTAACACGGCTATTGTTCAGGAGTGGACGAACAACCAGAACTGTCAGTCGGAGTTAACAGCCGGGGAACGCTAAGGAGAAGAAGTGTGTGTTGTGTTTTGCAAAGCTGCCAAGTCCTTTTTTTTTAAATTATAATCCTCTGTCGGTGCTCCCTGGAAGGCAGAACCAGTAGATGATTCATAATACAACGTTTAATGGGTAACCTTGACAAGAGTACGAGAGCTTCGTGACAAAAGAAGTAACCCCAAACATGAGCAATATACAGCTAGCCAAAGAAGAATAGTAAACCATCTCAGAACTTGTGCTGTCAGTCACCACACCCCGAGAGAGATATTACTGCATTTCTAAAGTCGGACTATTTGTGTTGGCACTTATGATATCTGCCTTATGCTTTTAATGCACGTGTGTGCTAGTGGATACGCTGAGATTGCAGTTTATATCAAAGGGACAGTGGTGGATATGCTGTGTATTTTTCGTTGGCACAGGATCGGAGCAACTATGGGGGTGACCCGTTTGCTTTGAAGCTGAAACTAAGATTATTACCAAGATTACCATGTGAAATTAAGTGTCTAGACCCAGGGTCTTATGTACTTGTCCGATGCCAAATGATGATGTTCTGTCGATTAATTAAATGAGATGACAGGTCGATTAATTTAATGAGGATGATCGATATAAAAATTAAATGAGGTTGATCTATCAATTATAAAATGAGGATAATCAGTCAATTAATTAAAGGAGGATGATCAGTCAATTAATTAAATGATGATGATCAGTCAATTAATTAAATGATGATGATAAGTCAATTAATTAAATAAGGATGATTAGACAAATAATTAAATGAGGATGATCAGTCAATTAATTAAATGAGCTTGATCTGTCTATTTATTAAATGAGGATGATCGGTCGATTAATTAAGTTAAGATAGTCGGTTTATTAATTAAATGAGAGTGATCAGATTAAGGAATGAATTAAGATGATTGGTCGAATAATTAAATGAGGATGATCGGTTGATTAATTAGAGGATGATGATTGGTCGATTAATTAAATAAAGATAATCGGTCGATTAATTAAATGAGGAGAATTTAGTCGATTAATTAAATCACGATGATTGGTCGATTAATAAAATGAAGATGATCGGTCGAATAATAAAATAGCTGACTAGTTAATATTATATGAAACAGTCACTTATAACTGGCGTATGTCACTGTGGAACTGTCAAATAACTGTCTATGTGAAACGTTCCAAAGATGTCGTTGTCAGTGTATGTATACTGTCATGGATGACACTGGATGGACACACGTGTCCAGGAGGAAGCTCACTCTGGTCAAAACATATACTCTCCGAGGTCATTCTAGAAATGGATTTCGATCTTAGAGTCTGACCAGTGTAAATAGATATTTCCTTTGTAGTCAGCGCATCTGTAAAAGAGTAACCAACAGTCCGAACATACGAAAGCAGATCAGTAAAACCGGAGTGCACGCAACACTCAAGTCATGGAATAAGGCCAAAGTCCAGAATGGGACGAACAACTAGGACTTTCCGCAAGAGTTCACAACTGGGGAACGCCAAGAAGTATACTGTCAGAATGCGAAATACATGGGTGATTTGCGTGACTTGATATATGCGTAACATGATATATGCGTAACATGATATATGCGTAACATGATATATGCGTAACATGTGATTTGTCTTCCTGTCAGAGATCATAGACAAGGTGAAGAAAGGAATGAAACCCTACTTCCGACCCACTCTTGAAGAGTTTGACTGCCCAAACGATGAACTGGCAAGAGTTATACGGCACTGCTGGTCGGAAGATCCCGCCGAACGGCCAGATTTTCAACAGCTGCGTACCATGATCAAGAAATTGAATAAGTGAGCCAGTCCTTCTAGTTTATCAGTAGCATGTAAAGTAAATATGCCACAACAGTGGGTATGTGGTGTTAGAGTTGTATTATTGTAGACCTATGAGCAAGCTACGGGGAAGTGGTCACAATCATGCGGCCTCCTTTACTTCCAACATTTCCTGGTGCCCATCTTAGAGCCGGTCGATCTGGGGTCGCTAAGTTAATTTAATGCAGTTTAAGTACATAATAATAATGTACTAGATTGCAAAAACAATTAATAACGCAAATACCTAAGTACCTATTTAATTGGGGTTTTTTTTTTTAAAGCCTGCAACTTCCAGCGTAACTGTTGTTTGTCTAAAGCTAATTCAAACTACAAGGCGTTCGACTCAGTAGGCAAGAGCCTAGCCACTGTGCTACATATGATACATTTATTAAACTTCTGCTCATGTCTCCACGGAAGGAGACTTGTTTTTTTTTTTTTTTTCACGCGTGTCTAGGCACCGAGATATAGCCATGTGCAAATCTTTTCTTTGTGTGACCAGGGACGATATAAAGACGAGTACTAGTCTTTTGGTTGTGTGTCGCGGACGATGATAAAGACATGTACTATTCTTTTCGTTGTATGTTCAAGGATAGAGATAAAGACATGTACCAATCTTAACCTTGTGTGTCCAGGGACTGAGATAAAGACATGCACCAATCTTTATCTCGTTTGTCGAAGGATGGAGATAAGGACATGCGCCAATCTTTAATTCGTTTGTCGAAGGGTGGAGATAAAGACATGCGCCAATCTTTGTCTCGTTTGTCGAAGGGTGGAGATAAAGACATGCGCCCGTCTTTACCTCGTTTTTCGAAGGATGGAGATAAGGACATGCGCCAATCTTTACCTCGTTTGTCGAAGGATGGAGATAAAGACATGCACCAATCTTTACCTCGTTTGTCGAAGGGTGGAGATAAAGACATGCACCAATCTTTACCTCGTTTGTCGAAGGGTGGAGATAAAGACATGCACCAATCTTTACCTCGTTTGTCGAAGGATGGAGATAAAACATGCGCCAATCTTTACCTCGTTTGTCGAATGATGGAGATAAAGACATGTAGTAATCCTTTCCTCCTGTGTCTAAGGACCGAGATAAAGTCGCGAACTAGTCTGTTAGTTGTGTGTCACAAAGATTATAAGTGTGATTATAAAGACATATACTATACATTTCATTGTGTGTTTATGGACGGAGATAAAGACATGTACTAATCTTCTACACGTGTGTCCAGGGACGGAGATAAAGGCGACATCTTGGACAACCTGCTGTCCAGAATGGAGCAGTACGCCAACAACCTAGAGGCCCTGGTTGAAGAGAGGACCTCTGACTATCTGCAGGAGAAGAAGAGGGCAGAGGAGCTTCTCTACAACATGCTTCCAAAGTGAGTCCGCTTGTGAAGTGTGACTGGATTGGTTCTCTAGTGTATAGGGAAATCTTGGAATTTCTATACTCTACTACACTTTGCCATACTCTACTATACCACGCTACATTGTGCCAAACTGTGCTTAACTGTTCTACACTGTTGTGTACTATACTATACTGTAGTATTATGTACTGTACTGTACTATACTACACTACATTAGTTTACTATACTAGACTTTACTATACTGTTCTACACTACACTGTGCTATACTGTACTACTCTGTTGTGTACTATACTATAGTATTCTGTACTATACTCTGCTATACTATGCTACACTATACTGTACTATACTACACTACACTGTGTTGTTCCGTGCTATACTATATTATACTATACTACACAACGCTATACTGTGCAGTGTTTTATTGTGTTGTTCTATACTGTACTATACTGCACTATACTACACTACACATCGGGCATATGGGAATAGCACCCATATTTTTACAGACCAATCGGCACTCGGTGGGTAATGTGGTCAGCATCACGCCGGCCGTCTTAACTTTCCCAGGACAGCCCATCCTGGTACCTATTTGAGGCTGGGTCGACCTGCGACGTCCCATACCACGATAAAAATCAACGCAGCCCGCAGTGGGTTTCGATCGCTGTACGTTGGATTGCGAGTCGGACTCGCAACGCCTTAGCCACGGACGCCGCTGTGTTGTACTATACTGTACCATAATAAACAATTCTTTAATATACTGTACTTACTGTACTGTACTATACTGCTGATCCGAAGGTCGTCGATTCAGGTCCCATTGGAGCAGGTCTTTTTTTTTTAATAATGACCTTGGCCCCCACGCTGACCCCGCTTTAAATGGGTATTAGGTACAAGCCTGGGAAGTGAAGGCGGACAGCATGATGTTGATCACATGACCCACCTAGCATTGATTGGTCTATACTATTTAGGTCTAGCCCTAAATGTCCAATAGGCGTGAATGCGTGGAATAGGATCCCATAATTTATTTACTCTATATTGTACTGTACTTTACTATACTATCATACCTTATCATATATATTACATTATGCTATACTACATTATATTATATTATACGATATTATGTTATTTTAATTTATAATATATTATATTATATTACATAACATTATATTATATTATATTATATTATATTATATTATATTATATTATATTATATTATATTATATTATATTATATTATATTATATTATATTATATTATATTATATTATATTATATTATATTATATTATATTATATTATATTATATTATACTACACTATACTATATTATATTATATTATATTATATTATATTATATTATATTATATTATATTATATTATAGTATATTATAGTATATTATAGTATAATTATATTATAGTATAATTATATTATATTATATTATATTATATTATATTATATTATATTATATTATATTATATTATATTATATTATATTATATTATATTATATTATATTATATTATATTATATTATATTATATTATATTGCAAAACATTGTACTGTATTGTATTATGTTATACTATATTATGTTATGTTTGTAATGTTATGTTATATTATATTATATATTGCATTTTCTTCTTCTTCTTCTTTTTCTTCTATAATCCTTGCGCTAGAAATCTTATATTAGTTGACCAGTAGGCTTTATGAAAGCTATTGTGCACTATACCCTCCTATATTATATTATAATGACAACAATCACATTGATATTTGGACACTAAATTAGCAGTTGTTAATTACTGCTTCTTGTAAAATATTGACACTTTGAAGGATTTTCCTCCAAGTTCTTGGTGCTATCCGATGGCAGGTGGAAGATCACGCTATAGTGCAGTGATTCCCAACTGTGCACCGCGGCGCCCTGGGGAGCCGCGACCTCTTCACAGGGGTGCCGCGAAATATTCGAAGATACACGAGTATTTTTTTTTTTTTTTAAACATCTTACATACGAATAGTCATACTTTTACTTAGGTTAGGGCGCTGTGAAAAAATTGTAATTGAAGAAAAAGGCGCCGCGACTAAGATAGCATGGGGAAAAAAAAGTTCATGCTTTCGTAATGAACTCCAGTATTTCTCTTCTAACGGTGTGACCAACTGTATAGACTACTTCTGATGCGGATAATTAGCTCTCCTAGCTAGTTAGTTTTTTTCAGTAATTCTTGATTATTCTGCATAAAGTAGGTTCATAGTCATCTTGTGCCCTGTCGATAAGCGTAGGCAGTCATGTTTCGCTATCTTACGCGATCACCAAAATCACAGATCGGGATCAGTCGTCTTGTCTCCCACCACCTATATGGCCGAGCCATCGTGATAAATACCTCTGAATTCCCTTTCTCTTTCTCTGCGTATATTGCCAGTTGCAACCCTGTTTTCGAGTCTGTTTCTTTTCTTAATACACCCTTTCCCCCTCCCTCCCCCCCCCCCACACACACACTCCCTCTCTCTCTCTCTCTCTCTCTCTCTCTCACACACACACACACACACACACACACACATGTTTAAACTATGACTGTTCTTGGTATTTTGAAGAAAGTAATCAGCCGTTTCTTTCCTTCTTGATAGTAATAATTCTGATCGAATCACCGTGGCCATTCTCACGGTCACAGTGTTTCCCAAATTTTTTTTGGTCGCGGCGCCCTTTTTTTTTTTTTTTCAAATTACAATTTTTCCACGGCGCCCTTACCTAGGTAAAATTATGACTATTGGTATGTAAGAGATTTTATAAAAAGTCGTGTATTTTCAAATATTTCGCGGCACCCCTGTGAAGAGGTCGCGGTTCCCCGGGGCGCCGCAGTGCACAGTTTGGGAATCACTGCACTATAGTATTATCTTTTGCCTGCCATGGGATAGCTCAAGACCCTAACAAACATCTATCTGTAGACTGCTCCCAAGCTCAACCGACTTCCGTACAGTGCTTCTATTGCTTGCTTTCTTTGTGGCTGCTTATGAGCTGTTAAAAGAGTCCAGTTTTCACTGAAATAGTCTCGTTTTTAGGTGTGACCCGGCCGTCCCCTCGGTGCTCCAAAAAAGCTCCAACTGTCCTGTTCTATAAAAGTCTAGGAATAGGCTCAAGAAAAGAACACACACTTGTATTCATATCTGTATATCTTATCAGATTTCATAAGTTTAGATACTTTTAATACCTGAGATGGGTTGATGAGAATTTCAGTTCAAGCATTTTTTTTTACTTTGTCACAGTTGAAGAGCTTATTCTTTGTTTATTTCTTAGCGGCAATGGTTACCTTTTTAATACCATTATAGAGCAATTAATGAACCCGTTCATCCCGGTGACCTAAAGAAAGGGGGTCGTGGGAGGGGAAGGAAGAGGTTTGAACTGATTTGCTTGAGACGTATGTTCTGTTTTTAGTTCAAATTATTATTAGGATGTCCGTTTTCAGCGCAAACCATTAGTAGGATGTCCTGTTTTCAGTTCGACATATTATGGTCACCCTAGTTGTTGACTATCTACAGATGTCATCTGTCCTCCTAGGTACGTGGCCTCCCAGCTGATACGTGGAGAATCCATCTCGGCCGAGTGGTATGAAGGTGTGACCATCTACTTCAGTGACATATGTGGATTTACTTCCTTGTCAGCAGAAAGCACACCTATGCAGGTATGATTGTGTGTTTCTCATTTGGTTGATTTTTTTTTTTTTTTTTATCATTCTAGAAAACAAGAAGTATAATTGGCCAGCATCATGGAGCACAACTTTAGTCAAAAACATTAACGTTAAGGCTAGAAAGCTATTGGCAGCACTGAAAACACTGATACAACTATACTTTTGAAATTTCCAAACTAGATATTTAGCCCATAGGATTTGCAAGTCCAGGAGTCTTCAGAATCAAAGGGTCAGAAATCAATCATTGGTTTAGACATGAAACTAATTCATCTTCAGTTGTTGTTGTTTTTTATGTAGTCTCTGCCCTGTTTGTTACCATACTCTGCAGAACGTTTCACTCATCGCAGGCTGTTAAAAAGAATTTCAGTTCTTAATTTATAACGTACCCCAAACACGAAATCCCCGTGGGAAATCCACAGCTGACCTGACAGTCCATTATTTGAAGGGGTTGAAGTGTGCTGTTGTATAGTGTTTTGTTTGTTTGTTTGTTTGTTTGTTTGTTTGTTTGTTTGTTTTTTTTTTTTTTTTTTTTGAGTTTTAATCTAGTGTCTTCTAATGCTAACCCTAACCCTAACCCTAACACTAACCCTAAACGTGGCTGTAGATAAATCGCGAGAAACTACAACCTGAACACCCTAGAATTTATTGGGAATGTCTCCCGTGACGTTGTCGTGACGTCAGGGGTAAGTTATAAATGAAGTACCAGAATTTCTAATATCGTGTCATTTCTCCTCCTCTAGCCATTGCATGTTAAAGATGTCTTTGACGCCCTGTTGATCGCATCATCCACCGAGTTCAAGTTGGTCTATAATCCCAATACGCCTGAACGCGTGCAAAAGTCCTTTTAAAACGTCATAGACACAAAATTTAAATAAACCTACCAATCAAATACCGTTTTTAAATGTTTGTGTATTCTAGGTACTTAATTTATAACTTATCCCTGACGTCACGAAAACGTCACAGGAGATATTCCCAATAAATTCTAGGGTGTTCAGGTTGTAGTTTATCGCGATTTATCTACAGCCAAGTTTAGGGTTAGGGTTAGGGTTAGGGTTAGGATTAGAAGACACTAGATGAACACTAAAAAAAAAAAAACAGCACACTTACACCCCTTTAAATAATGGACTGTCAGGTCAGCTGTGGATTTCCCACGGGGATTTCGTGTTTGGGGTACGTTATAAATTAAGAACCGTATTCTAGACAAAGCATTAAGGTCTTCTGTGTTGGCAAATTGTTGCTGTGATTATTATTCGACATACGCTTCGTTAATATAAATTTCTGTAACCTATGGTGCTATTTCAATGGTTTACAAAGAATTCTGTCCGTATTCCATAGTTGTGGATTTCAAGCTGTACGATAGACGTGGCCAATAAGACACCTTTTTGGGGGTTGCCTAGTTGACCATGTTCTTAGTGCACTTGTATCCATGGCAAGGCGCACGCGCTATCTGGAGGTGACAGGTTCAATTCCCGGCACGGTGACTATAGCCTTCGATTTTTATGTTGTCTAGTGTGTTCTTCTATCTTTCTACTTCTTTCTATAAGTGCCTATCAATACACTTTATGTTACTTGAATAATTCATACCCAAAAAAAATGGGGCATTTACCAAAAGAGGAGAGGGACATAGAGCACGAGGTAGAACAGGGACAAGATGGAAAAAAACATCAGATAAACTCTACAACACCGCGTGTTCGTGGTCGACGTGGCGAGAAGAGCAAGAAGTAGAACCTTTTATATTCCTTGACACTGGAATTAGTAAAAGGAGAAGTGAAGAAACAGAAGAAACGTTGAGCTACTCTTTATTCGATGTTCAGATCACGTAAACATCAAGAAGTTAAATTATTTTTAGTCCCCGATATTCTGAGAATGTCTCTGTAGAATTCAAGCACAAAACTTCGATTGTCTTCTTTAGTGTTTTTTGTTAGTGTTTTCTATGCAGTAAGTCTTCTTCTTCTTCTTCTTTGTTGCCCAACTGTAAGCTCCAGGGGAAATTCCTGGTGGTTCGTCCATTTAGACTTGAACTTTGTCCCAGGGCGTGTGGTTTGCGTGTGCATCCGCTTTACTGGCTTATCTGGGGCAGTTGGGGTTTTTTTTAACAGCTTGGGCAGATGCACTCCGATTTCAAAGGAAGCTCCCAATTTGTCGACTCTAGATATTTTTACTGGAGTGGCGGTGGGTTTATTCTTGTTTTCCTCATAATGAGGCCTCGAAATGCACACTGGCGGTGAATAATATAGGTTTTTAGCAATTAAACAGATCTCCCCGTGTGGCTTCCGGGGCCCCATTGTGGAGAAGACAAGAATAGACCCACTGCCTCCCCAAAAGCATGTCGTAAGAGTCGACTAATTGGGGAGCTTCCTTTGAAATCGGAGTGCATCTGCCGGAGAAGCAAGGAACCAACAGTCTGTATTCAAGAGAATGAGATCTGTAAAACTGATGCACACGCAACACTTAGCTTCTCGAGCAGGACTGCAGTTCAGTAGTGGACGAGCAACCAGAACCTTCCGCCAGAGTTTACAGCTGGTGAACGCGAAGAAGAAGAAGAATAAAACAGATGCATTTCCTCAGAAGAGATATTTTAATAAGGTGCACCACGTACTGTGGTGGTGCACTAGGCCCAAGCTTGTCATAGCCTGTGTGCACCTCAATGTATTCGCTGTAGAGATGGGTTCTCTGCGGGGGGAAGGGGGCAAGAGGGTGGTGGATATCTGCTTGAAGCACTTCGAAGTCTCAGCGCATCTTCATAAGAGACGAGGAATCAAAAGTCTGTCCATAATACGCCAGATCTGGAAAACGTTTGTGTACCTAACATAAGTCCTGAATCAAAATAAACGGTAAAGTCGAGACGATTGATTCGTTGCGCCTGGTGTTATTCCGTATTAGTCAAAATTGGCTGCTCGAAAAGCAGCAGCTTGGAGACTTATCCAGGCTATAAACCTAGGCTTTCTTAGCAAAAGAGAAATTATTGAGAGGACAAAAATGGCTGTATACCGTTCTACCTATGTGCCTGTCCTGACCTATATGTGTGAGTCCTAGCAATGGCAACAGCTCACGTAAGCCAGCTTCAGGCATAAGAAATAAGATATCTGACAAAGATGGTCAATTAAAAAGAAGGGACAAAGTTCGCAATCAGACAAAAAGTTATGATCTTGAAACCCAGGCCCTAAAACCTCGAGTAGATAAGTCACAGTTACGATGGTTTGGTCATGTATGCAAAATGTAGAATTGCCGGCCACCATGATATGCAAGGGAGGCCAAGAACGAGGGAATCAGACTAATAAGGGTTGCTATGGAAGTAGCATACGGAAAGTCCTTAACTGACAGAGGACTGGAATGGAACAAAGCCAAAAAGGAAACTGCCGACAGAGAAGCCCTCTGGTAAACACCAACACCTCAAGGTGGGAGAGGAGTGACTAAGTAAGTAAGTGAATGATCCATATACTTACATGTGTCTCCACTGAACAGCTAACAGCCTGTCGGAAGCGTCGCACAAAGCACAACTCATAACTCAAGGGACGCGTCCGTAAAACGAACCCATGACCTTTAGATCGAGAAGGACACGGTTTAACGACTTCATCCCGACCAGCGTGGACCTTTTTCTGTCATGTTCACGGTGGGTGAACGCAGAAGATACTTGAATTCGTTTCCCAGTGTTGTATCATCGTGTTTCCCTGTTCAACCCTTTTCGTTGATAGAGCCAATTGCTATCTGACTGGTGTGTTGGGAAATGATCAGTCAGATTAACTGGCTGGTTCTGCAGCACCACTTGGTGGTTAATTGATATATGAAAAGTAATATTTTGTGAGGGCCCTTTGGGAGCGAGTGAACAGTGCGGAGGCGCAAATAGATCATTGCGGTCTGGGGAGAATGGCGCTGCGGGGAGTTACCAGGGAATCTGGCCGACGCTCAACACTTAAGTAAAGGGCCAGACAGATATACAATCAGACGGTTAATGGGACGATCGGAATTGGAACTCTTCGCTTGCTGCTGAAGATGAGGACTGAGCTTTTATGGGAGTGTCCCGAATGCTGTGATGTCGGCTCCTAACTAAACATTTTTTCTGTCTTCTTCTGAACAAAGCCTATTATTAGTAGTTACAGAGATAAAGAAAGGACCAGCTGGCCGAATGGCTGAGCGCTAAGTCACATGCATTATCCTGGGTAAGCTTGCGGGGGGGGGGGGGGGGGGGTTATCTGTCGGGGGTTAAAAAAATTCCTAACCTGCACAGTCCGTGGCGACAGCACTAGCCATGCGGCGCTAAACCCTCAGGGTCAAAGACTCTCCTTGCCTACATTGCAAAAGGAAAATGGGTACAGAAATCAATCTGACAGTTTCCATTTCTTCGACTTTTTTTAAATAATAATTTTTTTTTTTTTTTTTTTTACTTACTTTTATGTGGTCATTACTTTGTTGTTACTAGGTTTAGGAAAGGATTGATTACATTTGTGTGTGTGTGTGTGTGTGCTTTTCAGACTACTCGACTGTGTTTAAAGGCATGTAGTACAAATATTCGTAGGAACAGCAGCAGCCATAGTGTTCCTAGTAGTAGCAGCAGCAGTGGTAGTCGTAGCAACAGTAGTTTTGCAGGAGCAGCAGTAGCAACAGCAAGTTTATAGTAGTGCAGTAGTAGTCAGTTTTGTTGTTGTTGCTGTGGTAGCAGCGCTATTTCTTTCAGGACTAGCCCGAGCTAAAACTACACTTGTACATCCTTTTGCAGGTTGTGGATTTGTTGAATGACCTCTACACCTGCTTTGATTCTATAGTCGAACATTTTGATGTGTATAAGGTAAGACAGTCTTCTACTAACTGTGATCGGTTGGTTGTTCCATGTGGCTTTATTTTCTATCCTTTTAGCTCATCCAGTGCTAAGCAGTTAATGAACAACTCGGATTTCTTGTCATAGTTTACAGCTAGTGAGCGAGAAGAAAAAAGGTAGTAGGTAGTTATTTCTGTCTCAAATGTTACTTCTCCGTGGCGAAGTGGTCAAGCCGTTTGCCTCGAGCTCTGAATATCGTGGATTCGTTTCCCTGTTGCGTCGTTCGATTCACGAGTGCAGTTTTTACGAAGACTCGTGTAGATCGTCATCAGAGCTATGGTGCTCCAGCTTTGTGCGACGCTAAAAGCAGGCGGATAGGCGTTTTACCGACAAAGAAAGAGCCATATGGGATCAGACTCGGGGCAATTAATGGGATCCTCTCGACTTTAGCTTCTTCTGTCACGTCTAGCTTCTTCTGTCACGTCTAGCTTCTTCTCTCACGTCAAGCTTTTTCTGTCACGTCTAGCTTCTTCTGTCACTTCTTTCTTCTTCTTCACACCCTCTTTCATCGCTTCTGGTGTCAAGGGGTATATAATGTTCTGTCCTTTCACTTCTGGATGCCTCTGCCATAGACACATCGTGCTGTTGTAACGTTTCTATGATGTTATCTGTGCATTTTATCCTTGGTCTACCTCGCTCTCTTTTTGTCACTTAGTATTGCTATTTAGACCCTTTGTATCCAACACCTATTACTATGAGTACACACTCAAAGGAAACCGAAGAGTTAATGGATACTAACTGAAAAATCATTGAACTTGGTTGGTTCAATAGAGAAGGAATAGACTAAACTAAGTGCTGATGATAAAAAGGATGATAGTGAAATTAGTTTTGCTATGTTAAAACAATTAGAAACGTCTACGGAGTGGTGGTAATGATAATTCTTGTAGTGATGCTATAAATAGGTATAACGTAAGAGGTTTGACTGGTTGACAGAATTAGGGAAGTCCCTAGAATGAGAGACATGAAGTCGACTGAAAATGGCAAAACACGAGTTTGTGGGAGCTCACCCGGAAAGACGAGGTCTGGGGGAATAGCTGACTGGGAAGTCGTTCTGTGACAGGACCCCAGAGAGATAGGAGCCAGAGTGGATCCAGAATGAAACGAAGTGGACGTTGATCCTGAATTGTAAGGAATTCAAGCTGTGAAGTGGTTGTAGCAAAGCCACGTTAAAATATAACTGAGGACAATGGAAGTGTTCTACAGACTGTTGATTGTGCCAAACGTTTGTATGTCAGCGTCGACCGTGGCGTGGCCGTATACCCAAAATGCGAGCAAGTGGATCCTGCCCGGAAGGCGCAAGATTGTGAATAAACATGGTACTGCTGATACCCTCGTCGACTGTCATTTAAAGACGTGTGATAGTTTGTTAGGAGAGAAATATTCCTCGTCTAATCTGTGAGTCCGACCCCTAGACAACAGCCCGTGCCGACTGTTTACGAGCGATAGCTACTGCAAAAGAGAGACACATTACAATTCTGATGCTACTGATGGTAATGGTGGTATGATGATGGTGGTATGATGATGGTGGTATGATGATGGTGGTATGATAATGGTGGTATGATGATGGTGGTATGGGGTTAGTGGTGGGGTTTATGTTACTAACACAAGCAGTGTTCCTGCTATCGTGTGCCCGTTCTATATGACCAAAAATCACACATCTCTCCTTGTATCAGGGCAAGCGATCGGAAATGCCTATCTGATCTTTCCTTCTCTCTTTCTTTTGTCGTCTCTCTGATACCAGCCCAGTGTCGTGGTTTTCTGTATTTGTCTTGCGCATCTCGGGTGGTTTTGATGATGGATTTGTTTATTTGTTGGCAGATTTCACCTACACCCATCATCTTGGTCTTCCTTTCGCCTTTCTCCGAGGTGTTCTACTGTAAACAAATGTCATTTGCAGTTTGGTTTGGCTGCATTCTCACTAGATGGCCGAAGCATTTCATTCTTTGTCTGTCAATATAATCCAGACATGGTCTAATTACAAGTTTCTCTCTAATGCTGAAATTCGTAACCCTGTCTCTTCTTTTGTTGTTAGTGACAGTCTATTTGTTAATTGTGGTAATGATAATGATGCTGTTAATAAAGTGATACTGGAGATAGAAATATTGTTACTTGTTTCAGCTTTTGTGTCTTATTTTTGCTGTTGTGTGTCCATTTCATGTCACCGGTGACCACATGATCGATTCTCCTGCTGCCAGGGCGAAGCGATCAGAGACGCTTACATGATGGTTGTGGTAATAATGATGATGTTGCTGATGATGTAATGGTATTGATAAAAGTAGTTGTACTTGTTTGCTGTTGTTGTGTGCTCATCCCACACGGCCAATGACCACACGATCGATTCTCCTGCTGGCAGGGTGGAACATTCGGAGAAGCTTGCATGATTGTAGTGGTAATTAATGATGATGATGGTGCTGCTGATGATTAGTTTTACTTGTTGCTGCTGTTGCGTACCCCCATCCCACATGACCAATGACCACACGAATGTCCTGGTTCCCTACATCCCACATGACCAATGACCACACCAATTTCCTGGTTCCCTACATCCCACATGACCAATGACCACACGAATGTCCTTGTTCCCTACATCCCACATGACCAATGACCACACGAATGTCCTTGTTCCCTACGTCCCACATGACCAATGACCACACGAATGTCCTTGTTCCCTACGTCATACATGACCAATGACCACACGAATGTCCTTGTTCCCTACGTCCTACATGACCAATGACCACACGAATGTCCTTGTTCCCTACATCCCACATGACCAATGACCACACGAATGTCCTTGTTCCCTACGTCCCACATGACCAATGACCACACGAATGTCCTTGTTCCCTACGTCCTACATGACCAATGACCACACGTATGTCCTGGTTCCCTACATCCCACATGACCAGTGACCACACGAATGTCCTGGTTCCAGGTGGAAACGATCGGAGATGCCTACATGGTGGTCTCTGGACTGCCGGTCCGCAACGGCAACCTCCATGCCAGAGAGATCGCCAGAATGTCCTTGGCCTTACTGGATGCCGTGTTCAAGTTCAAGATCAGGCACCGACCTGGGGATCAGCTCAAGTTGAGGATCGGCATTCATAGCGGTAAGAGGATAATAAGTCAGTAAGTTAAATGCATTTGAAAACACAGTAAAGTCTTAAAGATATTACACGCAAAATAGATGCATAAAGCAGTCGTCAAATATGTCACCATTAACCCTTTGGAGCCTTTGTGTAGTTTCAGTGCCAAGAAGACGACGCCTTCAGGAGGGGATTCTGTAAGTTTACTCACACAAAAATAAAAACTGAAGCGTTTAATTAACAGAATGTTGAGGGAAATGGTGGGCAAAAAAATGAGATGAACTCAAGAGGGGTGGAGAAATTAAGAGAACTGTGTGGGCAATCACTATTATTAACAGATATATGAAAAGGAAGATGGCACTATACTGGGCACATTAGGAGAAGAGGCGATCAGATAATCACTGAACAGGCACTGAAATGGAAAACTGAGACACTGAGGAAATATGGACGTCTAAGAGAACCCCTAAACAAACGTTGATTACAGAAGCCAAAGGTGCTGGGCTTGATTCCATCCATGAAATCAAGGTTATTGCACAGTATAGTACTGAATGGAGAAATAGACTATGCGCCGAATGTGACACATAATAGTATACACTCAAAGAGGGCAATGAAAAAATTAATATATATGTGTGTGTGCGCGCACGTGTGTGTGTCTGTGGGCAGGCGTGTGTGTGAGTGTGTGTGTGTAGAGCCCTGTGTGACATACAATAGTACACACATAGATACATACATAGTGGTAAAGAGGGAGATCAGTTTTATTAGAATGACTCTCATCATGAGGTACGGAGAGAGGTCATTATCATCACAGCAGTAAGGGGAAGTGTCAATGTGTGTACATAATTTTTATAGTATCGGTAAACTGAGGTGTCAATCTTATATACAGCGGTGAGATTTAAATGCATCATTTTTATTACATCAGGAAGAGGTGTTGTCTGTCATTGTTATTACAGCAACTGGAACAGATTTATATGTCCTACCTTGCAGGTCCTGTGTGTGCCGGAGTTGTTGGTCTGAAGATGCCGCGGTACTGCCTGTTTGGGGACACTGTGAACACATCGTCAAGAATGGAGTCCAATGGTTTACGTAAGTTATGAAGTCAGAAATAGTAACTGTTAATGTTAAATTATAAATTATAAATTAAATTATAAATACAATCTTTATACCGACATTAGGTTATCAATGTCAGACTTGGACATTAACAAAAGAACACGAGAGAAGACTAACCACCTGTGAAATGAGATGTTTGAGAATGGCTGCGAATAAAACCAGAAGAGATCGAGTGAGAAACGATGTGATTACAAGAACTATTGGAACCATACCCATCGTTAAATTTATTGAGAAGCAAAGAATAAAATGGTTTGGTCACCTAATGAGAATGGAACCAACGATGCCAGCACCAAGAGCATACAACATGCAAATCGAAACACCAAGAGGCAGGGGAAGACCAAGAAGAATATGGATTGAAGGAGTCACGGACAACTTGAGACTTCATAACATCACGGCATATGAAGCGACTCAGCGCGCCCTGGCTCGGTTGCCGATCATCTGATAGACTGCGACGCCTAGCGGCACAAGCAGATTTTGACAAAAGAAGAAGAAGAATGTTAAATTTCTTGAGACATATTTTTGCTGTATTGTTCTGGTCGCGCATTGTTTGTTTTTAAACCAGTCGGTCCTGGGTGGCTAAGGTCTTGTAGCGACCAGATGTTCACCATCGGGCCGAGAGTCGTGGATTCCAATCAGCATCCAGGTGGATGTCTTGTTTACTGACTTTGGTTCCCATGTAGACCTACCTATGCTAAATTGGGTACCTGACACACGACACACACACATACACACACATACACACACACACACACACACACACACACACATCGTGATTGTAACTGACTCAGAAAGCATGCTGAAGAAGATTAGGACAGGCATACTTTGTTCAGAGTGGCATGCCTCGTTGCGGAAGACACTGGTGAGAAGTATGGTCTGGATTTTTTAACCAGGGCACGCTGGTGTGTTAGGAAATGAACAGGCGGAAAGACTGGCTGTTTCTACACAGCTTGGTGGAATACTGATGCATGATAAGGCAGACGTGGTTAGTACCTTGTGGGAGAGCGTGTACAGTTCGGAGGAGCAGATGGATCACCAGTCTGGTAAGATTGATGCACTGGGGAGTGACGAGAGGTTCTGACAGATGCTTGAGGCTCAGAGGAAAGGCAAGACGGACGTTTAATCAGAATGCTACTGGCGCCATTAGTATCAGAACTCTTAGCTGGCTGCTGAAGATGGGGACGGAGCGCTTATGGGAATGTCCTGAGTGCTGTGATGTCAGTTCTTGAATCAAATCAAATCAGGTACCTGGCAAAATCCCGGGAAGATTAGGTTGCTAACTTGATGCTAACCACATCTTCAGCCGAGTAATGGTTACGCAACTAACTTGTTAGGGCGGGGTGGGAGGGGCAGTGACACTACCTCGACACTCCCTCGCCAATCGCTCGCCAATCCCTCGCCACTCCCTCGCCAATCCCTCAAATGAAAGTGGGTTCCGGTACACACACGGGGAGTACAGATATTGGAATTTAAACACCAGTCACTGACAGGCTAATTATACGCCAGCTGATGGAGTGAAGGATGAGTGGATAGACGGATGGATAGATGGACGGATACGTGTATTGAATGACTGATTCATTGATGCAGGGATGAATAGATGTGTTGACTGACTGACTGATTGATGCAGGGATGAATTGATGTGTTTACTGACTGACTGATTGATGCAGGGATAAATAGATGTGTTGACTGACTGATTGATGCAGGAATATATAGATGTGTTGATTGACTGACTGATTGATGTAGGAATGAATAGATGTGTCGACTGACTGATTGATTGATGTAGGAATTAATAGATGTGTTGACTGACTGATTGATTGATGCAGGGATGAATAGATGTGTTGACTGACTGACTGATGTAGTGATGATGATGGTTTTGGTGGAAAGATGGGCTGTCTTCCGAATTACGGTCCTAAATTATCGAGGCCGAAAATTTACCCTAACCGGGCCTCAGTCATATGTAAATTACGGACTTTCGCCACCGCCGAGAAAATCTCAAATGCCGCTGCCTGCGGCGTGGAGTGGGGCTAAACTAGATGGCTGGGACTCACGAGCGAATAAAATGAACGAAGCTGCAGGAGATGTGGTAGCTGCTGCTCGTGAGTTGCAGCCATCTACATTAGCCCCAATCCACGCCGCACATAGCGGCCTGGAGATACTCTCGGTGACGGTAGTCGCCGGAAGTGCGCAATTTAAGTCTCCGGAAGTTCGCAATTTTCATGTGACTGAGGCCCTGTTAGGTATATTTTCGGCCTCGATAATTTGGGACTGTTATTCGGAAGATAGCCGAAAGATGTATTGATTTACTGATTTACGAAAGTGGTGGTGATGATGGTTTTTGGCCATGGATGCATGTAGTGAATGACTGCCTGATGTTGTTACAGTGGTTACTATAGTGACAGTGCTGATGATAATGATGATGCTGTTTTTGATAAGGGTCCCTTGAACGAGATTTGATGACTATGGTTTTTATAATGAAGATACTGACTGTGGTGGTGATAATGATGATGATGATGATGATGATTAAAGTGATACCGATATTGATGAGGAAGATGACAGTTGTTATGGCTATGGTGATGATGAGGATAAACATAATGGCGAGGAGGAAGAGAACGATGGCGGTATACGTAATTATGGTAATGATAATAAAAATGATGGTGAATACGCTGACGATTGATTATGTTAGTGATGTTGGCTGTGGTGGCGACGATGATGATGATGATGATGATAATGATGATAATGGTGTCTGTGATGGTGAGAGTAATGGTAATTAGGGTGACGAAGAGGATGGCTGTGATAATTTTGGTGCTCACGTCTTTAAATTAAATATTTCATCTAAAAGAAACGTTGATCATGTTCTTATCCTTTTGTTAACTGCTTGAATTTTATTTGTTTTTCTTTCAAGGTGAAGCCTTCATCTCTTCTGTCTGTCTGTCTGTCTATCTGTCTCTCTCTCTCTCTCGCTCTCTCTCTCTCTCTCTCTCATTCTCTCTTCTTTAATCGCTCTTTTTCCGCCTATCTTTGCCTTCGCTTTTTGTCTCTCTGTCTGTCTGTTTATATTTATTTATGTATGTATTTATGTCTGTCTGTCTGTCTGTCTGTCTGTCTGTCTGTCTGTCTGTCTGTCTGTCTGTCTGTCTGTCTGTCTGTCTGTCTGTCTGTCTGTCTGTCTGTCTGTCTGTCTGTCTGTCTGTCTGTCTGTCTGTCTGTCTGTCTGTCTGTCTGTCTGTCTGTCTGTCTGCCTGCCTGTCTGTCTGTCTGTCTGTCTGTCTGTCTGTCTGTCTGCCTGCCTGCATGCATGCATGCATGTTTTGTGTGTGTGTGTATGTATGTATGTAAGTATGATGCGTGTATGTTTGTTTGTATGTATATATGTATGTATGTATCTCTATCTGTCCATCTTTACCATGGGTGCATCAAGCATCATAATTTCACATTTAGAAACAACGGCTTTTGATAAATTTCAATTGTTACGCCACAATTATAAACATCGGCCATTCTCCCCGGCATAATCTGGTCCCTTGTGTGTTAACTCTTTTCAGCCCTACGGATCCACGTCAGCCCTTACACTAAAGAGCTTTTAGATCAGTTTGGAACATTCCACTTAGAGATGAGGGGTGCAGTTGAAATGAAGGTGACCAAAATAAAAATTTACACTTTCTTGTTGTGTCTGTTAACTTTGCTGTGTCAGAACGGTTTAGTTCACATATGGATTCCAGGACCCCATTCGAAGGTGAGGGTGGGGGAAGTGTATGGGGGAGGGTCAAGCTGTTGCCCCCTAAAATTCTTGTCATCAAAGAAGAAGAAGAAAAAGAAGATGAAGAAGAAGATGATGATATAAGAGGCGAAGAGAGGAGGGAAGGTGAGAAGGAGGGTGAGAAGGAGAAGTAGAACTACGTTTTATTAGCTACCTAACGTAGGAAATAAATATGAAAGCTTAAGTGCAAACTGTATACGTTCTTATGTGATACATGTCTACAGCTTTTAGAAAATAAAAATTCATTGCCAGATTTCTCATACAGGCTCTGGTCAAAAATGAGAAAACCAATTCACATGAAACATTGTTTATGACACTTGTAGAATTGACTCAGAAACGTGCACATCTGCCAAAAGACAAATTTAACTCATTTGTTAGAGACCAGGAATAATAGTCAGTAACTGGGGACTTGTTGGTTGGTACACGGGAAAAAAGCCAATCATAATTGACCTGTTAATTGGTATACATAAAGAATAGCTGGGCACGGTTTACTGGTACACATTAGGCGATTACAAGCAGGCTCCTCGGAAAGCTTTGAGCAAGACAGGGCACTTAGGACGCCTTGGTCATCCACTGCAGCTAGGTCCATTTCCAGTCGTCACGACGTTGTCCTGCCACTGGATCAAAATGGACACTGAGGTCGACGAGTTGCACAATACTTCCTCACTCAAATCCAAGTCCTTATTCAAGCCACTTTCATCCAGTCATCCTTCAGGCATGATTCATCAGCCTGCCAGGTTGCTCAGGCAGAGAAACGGAGGCAGACTAGAAAGAACCGTATCGCTAATCCCACATTTACTGCGGTTTCCATCTGTTGTCCGCGCTGCTCAAGAACTTCCCGGGCTCATATTGGACCAATCAGTCAACGTCGTACTCAATCTTATTGATTAGTACTACTTTGGATGAAAAGTGATCCGTATCACTCTTGATGGACGAACAACATGAACACAGTAAACATAAAGAATAACACATAACAAATAAATAACACGTTGGCTGGTACACACAAATAATAAAAGCCAGTCACAGGTGACACTTTAACTAGTAAGCAAGAAGAAAAGCAAATCACACATTTTGCGTTTATTAAAGAAAAACTCATAACCGACCCAATATCAATGTAAGGCAGACTGGGCGTGTTTTGTTTGCTAGGTGCGAGAAAATTTAGACTGTAAAGAACCATTGTCTCCCCCCCCCCCCCCCCTCCCCACCCTTTCAGCCGCCCCCAACTATTTGTGAAAAATGAAAGAAATTAACAGACAAAAAGACCGCATCTACGTTCACTTTTGTGATCGTATGCCAATGCGATACAAAAGTTTCCACTACTTGCTTGCATCAGAATTTGTCTTGTTCAAGTACTTATTAGTTTACAACTGAAAATTAACCTCGTCCTTGTCTACACTTTCTGAAATGGGATCATCGTGATGATAATGGTAAAAATAATATTAATAATAATAATAATAAAGTGGTTAAAAAATTTGCAAGCATAACTTTCCTACATGCTTTGGGCAGAGGGCGGCATAAAGAAGACTATATCAGTGGCTGTTTTAGGGGCTGACAATTACCTTACGCATCGATGCACTGGTGGCTTGCTTTTTGGTCCTCCAGTAAGCGACGTGGGTAGGCGGTAGAGTCTGGTTATCGCATAAACACTGCAAGAGTCCTTTTCAGGGAGCTACTTGGCAGAGTGGAGTTTTTAGCCATGAATCTGATGCAAATAATCACAGATTTCAATGTACCCAAAAATATCCTTAGGGGCATGTTGATTGAATGGAGTCTTGCCTTTTTTTTTAAATCATTAAACTTAGAACTTGGAAGGTACTTAGGCGCTCTTAACCACCCTCCCCTCCCCCCCCCCACCACACACATACATACACACGCACAGACACACACACGAACACGGTTCCCTCATTGTCAGCAGCGTTGGATGTACCACACACACACACACACACACACGAACACGGTTCCCTCATTGTCATCACCGTTGGATGTACCGCACACACACACACACGAACACGGTTCCCTCATTGTCAGCACCGTTGGATGTACCACACACACACACACACACACACACACACGGTTCCCTCATTGTCGGCGCCGTTGGATGTACCGCGCACACACACACACCCATACTTTCGACACCACTTTTATTATAATTGTTTTAACCAACTCTCATCAGGGCAAAGGGTCAGTGGTCACCTACTGGCTGCTAGGCGAGGAAAACTCCCCTTACAACATCAGGCAACAAGGATGTAACGAACCAACGCAGAAATCGCCACAAAAGACAAACAACAAGCAGTCCTCTCCATCAAAACACTGACATACAACAATGACCGCATCCAACAAGATGAAAGCTCCTATTTAACTTTCCTAATCAGTTTGTTGTTGTTTCTTTCATTTTGTCCGAGTACAGTTCATGTTCTGTTTCTGCTGTGAGCTTGATACAATGTTCCTAATGTACAGTATCATTTTTTTGTTTATTATTATTATCATTATTACATTTTACCCCTCCAGATTTGTATTCTTTAGGATTAACACCCTAAATATGAGAATCGAACCTCTAAAAATCCGAGAAAACCCGTTCAACGGTATAGCCATATAGCAGTTATATTGAGGCACCATAAAACGGTCACGGATTGAATTGCAGACTACTGTGCTTGTGTGTCAGTCTGTATTCATCGTAATTTTGGAGCAAGTGGGTTTTTGTAAGGATAGGCTGGCCGGCCTGTTAAGAACGCTCCTCTCTCATTCAGGAGACCAATGTTCGAATCTTCCGTATGGTTATTGATTTCTTTTCGTTTGGGCAACAACAAAAATCCGAGCCCGCACAGTTCATGGCGACTGCGCCACTCTAAATCGTCGAGCTCAAATACATACACCTTCTTACACCACAAACGTGTTAAACAGTCAGTAAAAGCATTTAGCAGTTTGTGTGTTTTTGTATAAGTCTGAAACAAGATAGCTAACATTTAGTGTAACATTACAGAAGTACCATTACAAGATTTCATATCAGATTTTTCTATAGGATTATCATTTCAGAAAACGAATTGTTGACTGTGATATGAGATGGCGAGAAGATCGCTAATATTCACTGTATTATTTGAACGAATGTGTACTGACTTTGATTTGAAGTCTGAAAGAAGATTTTTAAACATTCATTGTAACAATGTAACAAATGTGTACTTATGTATGTATGTGTGTATTTCTAAAAGAAAGACTGTAACTTTCAGTGTAACAATTGTTGTAATCTTTACCTTATTTGTAAATGTCCGACACAAAGGTTGCTAACATTCAGTGTTGCGTTTACACTAATGTTTCTCTGTATGTGTATATGGTTGACAGAAAGGTTGTTAGCATTCAGTGTTACATTTGCACTAATGTTTACCTGTATGTATTTATGTCTGACAGAAAGGTTGCTTACATTCAGTGTTACATACGCACTAATGTTTACCTGTATGTATTTATGTCTGACAGAAAGGTTGCTAGCATTCAGTTTTACCATTCTGCTGTTTTTAACTGGGTTATAAGGGTAAAAATAAGAAAAAAAATAAACGCCCCTTATCTAGATCGAACGCATATCTCAAGATTGAGAGCTCAACAGTTCAACTACTCCACCAGAAGCCGCTATACCTCAGATGCAGATATAACTGTTTCTGATGCTTTTGAGAAGCGTTGAATCCTATCTATTTTAAGTGAGTTTATGTTTAGTTGATATTGTAATGTACTGATTGGCACTCTGAGATGAAGAATTTCAAAAAACAAAATACAATAAGACAATCAATAGCATCAAGGATTACATGCCGTCTGTTTGGCAAAAATGTGCTCTGTCAGTTGGTTTCAGATATTTTTTAGAATCAATATGTCTGCCACTGCAAGAGATTTCTAGTAAAGTTGAATGGAAATATTTACTACTTCAAATGGTTTGTGGTATAGCTGAATAGATATGCGTGCCTTTTAAAGTGGTTTGTGGTATAGTGAGCAGACGTTTGCGCCACTTGACATCGTTTTTGGTATAGTTGTCAGAAATATGTGACACTTCTAATGGTTTCTGGTATAGTTGTCAGAAATATGTGACACTTCTAATGGTTTCTGGTATAGTTTTCAGAAATATGTGACACTTCTAATGGTTTCTGGTATAGTTGTCTAGAAATATGTGACACTTCTAATGGTTTCTGGTATAGTTGTCTAGAAATATCTGACACTTCTAATGGTTTCTGGTATAGTTGTCTGGAAATATGTGACACTTCTAATGGTTTCTGGTATAGTTGTCTGGAAATATGTGACACTTCTAATGGTTTCTGGTATAGTTGTCTGGAAATATGTGACACTTATAATGGTTTCTGGTATAGTTGTCTAGAAATATGTGACACTTCTAATAGTTTCTGGTATAGTTGTCTAGAAATATGTGACACTTCTAATGGTTTCTGGTATAGTTGTCTAGAAATATGTGACACTTCTAATGGTTTCTGGTATAGTTGTCTAGAAATATGTGACACTTCTAATAGTTTCTGGTATAGTTGTCTAGAAATATGTGACACTTCTAATGGTTTCTGGTATAGTTGTCTAGAAATATGTGACACTTCTAATGGTTTCTGGTATAGTTGTCTAGAAATATGTGACACTTCTAATGGTTTCTGGTATAGTTGTCTAGAAATATGTGACACTTCTAATGGTTTCTGGTATAGTTGTCTAGAAATATGTGACACTTCTAATGGTTTTCTGGTATAGTTGTCTAGAAATATGTGACACTTCTAATGGTTTCTGGTATAGTTGTCTAGAAATATGTGACACTTCTAATGGTTTCTGGTATAGTTGTCTAGAAATATGTGACACTTCTAATGGTTTTCTGGTATAGTTTGTCTAGAAATATGTGACACTTCTAATAGTTTCTGGTATAGTTGTCTAGAAATATGTGACACTTCTAATGGTTTCTGGTATAGTTGTCTAGAAATATGTGACACTTCTAATGGTTTCTGGTATAGTTGTCTAGAAATATGTGACACTTCTAATGGTTTCTGGTATAGTTGTCTAGAAATATGTGACACTTCTAATGGTTTCTGGTATAGTTGTCTAGAAAAATGTGACACTCCTAATGGTTTCTGGTATAGTTGTCTAGAAATATGTGACACTTCTAATGGTTTCTGGTATAGTTTTCTAGAAATATGTGACACTTCTAATGGTTTCTGGTATAGTTGTCTAGAAATATGTGACACTTCTAATGGTTTCTGGTATAGTTGTCTAGAAATATGTGACACTTCTAATGGTTTCTGGTATAGTTGTCTAGAAATATGTGACACTTCTAATGGTTTCTGATATAGTTGTCTAGAAATATGTGACACTTCTAATGGTTTCTGGTATAGTTGTCTAGAAATATGTGACACTTCTAATGGTTTCTGGTATAGTTGTCTAGAAATATGTGACACTTCTAATGGTTTCTGGTATAGTTGTCTAGAAATATGTGACACTTCTAATGGTTTCTGGTATAGTTGTCTAGAAATATGTGACACTTCTAATGGTTTCTGGTATAATTATCTAGAAATATGTGACACTTCTAATGGTTTCTGGTATAGTTGTCTAGAAATATTTGACACTTCTAATGGTTTCTGGTATAGTTGTCTAGAAATATTTGACACTTCTAATAGTTTCTGGTATAGTTGTCTAGAAATATGTGACACTTCTAATGGTTTCTGGTATAGTTGTCTAGAAATATGTGACACTTCTAATGGTTTCTGGTATAGTTGTCTAGAAATATGTGACACTTCTAATGGTTTCTGGTATAGTTGTCTAGAAATATGTGACACTTCTAATGGTTTCTGATATAGTTGTCTAGAAATATGTGACACTTCTAATGGTTTCGGGTATAGTTGTCTAGAAATATTTGACACTTCTAATGGTTTCGGGTATAGTTGTCTAGAAATATGTGACACTTCTAATGGTTTCTGGTATAGTTGTCTAGAAATATTTGACACTTCTAATAGTTTCTGGTATAGTTGTCTAGAAATATGTGACACTTCTAATGGTTTCTGGTATAGTTGTCTAGAAATATTTGACACTTCTAATAGTTTCGGGTATAGTTGTCAGAAATATGTGACACTTCTAATGGTTTCTGGTATAGTTGTCAAAAATATGTGACACTTCTAATGGTTTCTGGTATAGTTGTCTAGAAATATGTGACACTTCTTATGGTTTCTGGTATAGTTTTCTAGAAATATGTGACACTTCTAATGGTTTCTGGTATAGTTGTCTAGAAATATGTGACACTTCTAATGGTTTCTGATATAGTTGTCTAGAAATATGTGACACTTCTAATGGTTTCTGGTATAGTTGTCTAGAAATATTTGACACTTCTAATGGTTTCTGGTATAGTTGTCTAGAAATATGTGACACTTCTAATGGTTTCTGGTATAGTTGTCTAGAAATATGTGACACTCCTAATGGTTTCTGGTATAGTTGTCTAGAAATATGTGACACTTCTAATGGTTTCTGGTATAGTTGTCTAGAAATATGTGACACTCCTAATGGTTTCTGGTATAGTTGTCTAGAAATATTTGACACTTCTAATGGTTTCTGGTATAGTTGTCTAGAAATATTTGACACTTCTAATAGTTTCTGGTATAGTTGTCTAGAAATATGTGACACTTCTAATGGTTTCTGGTATAGTTGTCTAGAAATATGTGACACTTCTAATGGTTTCTGGTATAGTTGTCTAGAAATATGTGACACTTCTAATGGTTTCTGGTATAGTTGTCTAGAAATATGTGACACTTCTAATGGTTATTGGTATAGTTGTCTAGAAATATGTGACACTTCTAATGGTTTCTGGTATAGTTGTCTAGAAATATGTGACACTTCTAATGGTTTCTGGTATAGTTGTCAGAAATATGTGACACTTCTAATGGTTTCTGGTATAGTTGTCTAGAAATATGTGACACTTCTAATGGTTTCTGGTATAGTTGTCAGAAATATGTGACACTTCTAATGGTTTCTGGTATAGTTGTCTAGAAATATGTGACACTTCTAATGGTTTCTGGTATAGTTGTCTAGAAATATGTGACACTTCTAATGGTTTCTGGTATAGTTGTCTAGAAATATGTGACACTTCTAATGGTTTCGGGTATAGTTGTCTAGAAATATGTGACACTTCTAATGGTTTCGGGTATAGTTGTCTAGAAATATGTGACACTTCTAATGGTTTCTGGTATAGTTGTCTAGAAATATGTGACACTTCTAATGGTTTCGGGTATAGTTGTCTAGAAATATGTGACACTTCTAATGGTTTCTGGTATAGTTGTCTAGAAATATGTGACACTTCTAATGGTT